ACTAAGAGTGCGCATTTCATAGCAGCCAGGAGAAATGGTCTATGGAAAAGCTTGCGAATTCTTATGTGAAGGAAATTGTGAGACTTCACGGTGTTCCGCTAACAATTGTGTCGGATCGTGATAGTCGTTTCACCTCAAGGTTTTGGAAATGTCTACAAGAGGAAATGGGTACCAAGTTATGTTTAAGTACAGCTTACCATCCGCAGACTGATGGTCAGAGTGAAAGAACGATACAAACACTTGAAGATATGCTGAGAGCATGTACCTTGGAATTCCTAGGTAATTGGGATGAACATTACCTTGGTAGAATTTTCCTATAACAATAGTTTTCACTCGAGCATTAAGATGGCACCTTACCAAGCTTTGTATGGAAAAAGTGTCGTACGCCGTCTTGTTGGCTTGAGGCTGGGGAAAAGCAGTTTATGGGACCGGAGATGGTTCATCAAACTGCTGAAAAGTTGAAAATAATTAGGGAAAGAATGTTAGCGGCTCAGGATCGTCAAAAGAGCTATGCTGACAAAAAGCGAAGACCGATGACTTTTGAAGTTGGGGATTCGGTTTTGCTTAAAGTCTCGCCGTGGAAGGGACTTATAAGATTTGGTAAAAGGGGAAAGTTGAGTCCAAGGTTTATTGGACCGTTTAAAGTTCTTCAGAGGATTGGGAACCAAGCTTACAAGCTCGAACTACCAGAAGAACTGAATGGAATTCATAACACTTTTCATGTGTGTTATTTACGGAAGTTCACGGGGGAAGTTCCCGACATGATTCCACTTTCGGAGTTGAGAATCGATGAGAACAAAAGGTTGATTGAAGAACCAGAGGCAATTGTTGACCGAAAGACTAAGAAGTTGCGACGCAAGATGGTCGAGTTAGTGCTTGTCCGATGGAAACACACGAATGGGCCGAATCTCACCTGGGAGACGGAGAGTGACATGATGGGTCGCTATCCGCATTTGTTTGTTGATGTGTGATTCCGGGGACGGAATCATTCTAAGGTGGAGAAATTGTAACGCCTGTGTTTCTGGGCTTGCCATTTTTAGCAATGTGATAGTCTAGGTTAACCTTTGTAACCCGTTTTGAAATAATAGAAGTGTATTATTTGAGTATTATGTGTTTTGTGCTTAATTGCTTAATTATGTGGTTTGATTAATTAAGAATAAAAATAAGCGTCAAAATTTAAGTGTAAAATAAACTTGATATCTTTAGATAATGTTGTAGTAGTTGAAACAAGGTTTCCGAAGATATAAAGAATGCCGAAATCCGAGTTATAACGAGGAAGTTATGACCTGTCGAAGTTTCGCGACAGAACCGGCAACGCTGAATAACGTAAAAAGTGAAATTTACGTTAGAGCGATATTTAGCCTTAGTGATCTAAACGAGAATCGAAGATCTCGTTGTTAGTATCAAAGCGATAAAAAGTTAGGCGAGAACGGACGTCAAACGAAGAAGTTATGAATTTATAACGAAATTTTCTGTCCCGGCCTATTAAAAATAAATAATAAAAATAAAGTCAAAATTAGCCGACGGAGTCTAAACGAAAGTTGTAGAGCGTAGTCTCACCTTCGCGTGGATATAAAGAACGTCGAAAACGGAGTTCGTATGAAGGAGATATGAATTTTCGAAGTTTATTAAATAATTAATAATTAAATTTAATTATTAAATATCGGCCTTATCCGAAGACGAGTCACCGGACTCATCCGGAGTACGCCCAGCGTACTCGAGTACACCCCGCGTACGGCAAGAAGTGTCGACACTTCGGATGACGCATGCAGTGACGATTTCGGAGCCCTGTACGCCCCGCGTACGAGGAGGTTCCAGCCTCCTACAAATAATATGCGAGGGGTCCGGGTTTATTTGCTAATTTCCTCTAGTTTTTGTGCCGAAGCTCTGTGTTTTTACCCCCGAAGCCCCGGTAATATTCCCGAGTCCCGAAGCGAGTCCCGAGAACCCGAAGATCCCGAGAAGTGCGGTTTCCGAGCCGAAGCTCTGCCCGCGAGAAGTTCGATTTTCGTAGAGATCTTCCAGATCTGCTGAGGATTACGACTTCTGCAAGCCGTAGTGTTGTCTGATCATCTTCTGATCAAGTGAGTGTATACTACCTTTCATAAACGCAATAAAAATACAAGTATGGTTTGAGTGTATTAAGTATATTGTTGTTTATACGTGTGAGTGCGTTGTTACTTTCTCCTAACGTATAATTATGAAGTATTTTATACGAGATACGTGTTATGTGTATATTTTGTTGTTATGTGTGTGAATGTATATTCACTTTCTTCTATCTTACATATCTGATTATTTCTATATGAAATACGTGTTATGTGTGTGTGCCTCATCTGTTATATGGAAAATGTATTAATCAAGCATGCTATACAGGTTTTGAAAATATGTATAAAAATGTATGTTTTTATCTACTAATATGTTGGGTAGAACATGGGTAGATAGTTGGTGTGTAATAAACAGATGAGAGGCCTTGTTGTTGTTTTGATCCAGTCATCTAGCGGAATTTAGATGATGACCACAGACTTTTCTAGACAGTCTAGTGGAACGCTAGCAGGCTCATAACCTGTAGGTGTTAATGAACTTGGGTATTCATTCGTTGTATTCCATCCCCCTCATGGTTGCCTTACACTACTAGAAAAACAACCTTTAATGACGCGCAAACAATGACACTCGCTGATTCACGTTACGCATTTTTGGGCGTCCTTAAAAATGACGTTAGACTTCCAAAATTTGAAGGATAGTGGACACGCATTTTTGTGTGCCCTTCAATTAGTATCTCAAGAAAAAAAATTAAAAACACGGAGGGCGCTTTATCATAAACGTGCGTCTTCTGTAGGTGTCGCTTTATAATTTTAGTGAAACGCGCCTTGAGAAGATAGCGGGGAAAACGAAACCCTAAAATTTTGAAAACCCGCCTTTCTTTTCTACCTTCTTTTCTTCATCTTCACAATCGACTCTCCCCTCTTCTTTTCTTCATCTTCACAATCGACTCACCCCTCTACAGCCTTACTTGTAAGTCCACACCACACTTGTTCTTATCTTGTTATGGAAAATCAAGAAACATTCGAAAAACCTTAGGGTTTCGCTTCTTATCATCGGTGAGGTCGCACTTCTTCTTATCAGTACTACGGTCTCGTTTCTTGCAGGTTCGTTCATTAAGTTGCTACCCTCATCGACACACAATTAAATAAGTACAGACCAAATATGCTACAATAGAGGATGGTTTCGTGGGTTCTTTCACCTTTTCACCAACGATGGTGGAGCTAGAGAGAGAGTTTATGGTGTGTAAAATACAAAATTCTTAAACCAGGGGATTCAAATAAATAGCATAATCCAAACCCTTTATGGTAATTGGGATCCAATCAGGGAAAAACGCAACCCTCAGACAACTTTTGCTCTCAAGAAACCTACGGTACGTACAAATTTTCTTTTCTTCCTCTTCCTTTTCTTATCAATATTCTTTATCCTCCCTTCCTCTCCGGTGGTCGTCGTTTCTGCCTACTTCGACCAGCCCTACACTTCCCTTTTCCCCAACCTAGGAGCATTTGTCGACGACTTCTCTGCTTCATCCGTTCAACAGATCGTCGATCACTGCCTCTACGATACCATCAACTGCTCCAGACCTGTGAACAACATGTCTAAATCTCGCTTCTACGCAGATGTCAACGTTGTTCGCCCTATGGAATACTAGTATTAAGAAGCACTTATTGTTCAATGAGGGTAACCTAACTAAACCCTAGATTTTACTTTAATTTATGTGATTTATCTCATGATATGAATTAATAGACAGAATACTTTGATTTATGTGTTGCTACTTGGCTTAATTTGATTCAAATTCGTTTCAAATTGTGATTGATCTCTTGTGTAATTTTGTATCTACTAACCCTAATGGTATTTTGTTTGTTTCAAAATAAAAAAATCAAAACATGGGAAGCTTTTGCAAAAGTGGTATGTTATGTATTTTGTACAATCAAATCTTTTTCATAGTAATTTTACAATGTAAATACCAAGAAGGGTTAGTGAATCATAAAAAGAAATAGAAGTGGCTGAGTAAGTCATAAAAATCTTCCAAATTCATAACAATGTAAAAATCTATTTAGAGATGAAACTCATGGATTATTGAGCTTCCAAGAGTGAGTTTTGTTCTCAAACTCATCCATGTGGTGATTTAGTTCGAGCAATCTAAAAATATGAATCATGAATGTAAATGCTTAATCCAAATTTGCAGTGTTGAAAGTTGACACTATATATTGATTATGAAGACTATTGAAGTTCTTGATAATAAAAATTATGTTGTGATAAAGTCAATAACATAATTCAGATCCATCATCTTATGCATTTGAAATGATTATTTAGTTCTGGTTTTCATCATCTGTTTTGCATTTTATCTTAATCACACAGGGTGGAATGCGGGTCTATATAAATGAACATGACACAACACCTCCAGGCCATCTTCCTAGGTAGGCCTCTCTCTTTCTCTCTCCCTATCCCTGATATATTTCTATGTTTATGTTCTTTTTTCACAACATATTGATTTTATTAACTTACAAATACCAAATTAATTCCTAAATATTTTGCAAGCAAATGAGCGATTTCGTCAAGAAAGAAATTTAACATATATTTCAAAGTGGATAAGGAAATCCATTAGACAATATGACAATTTTGACGAGTCATTGGAAGGATTAAAGTCCTTTTTTCAAGAGCATCAAGGTTCTTTCTCTGACAATGTACCTTTTCACATTTTGGTTCGAATGCAAGAAATAGCAACATACTTTTATTTATTTGTTTATTTTAATAATTTTACTTCTTGCTAGATAGGATTTCCATCACTAACAAAAGTTTTTGCTAATTTTGTGAAAACAATGGAAGAACGGGTTGAGAATGATGCAAAAGAGGTGGTTGATGTTGAAGTCATTGATGTGGAGGAGCCAAGAAACCTGTTCACATAAATGATGAACCATAAAATTATACGTAACCCCAAACCAAAAGGAAGAAGATCTATGTCAGGTGCTGTTATTTCACCACCTGAAATACTAACAAATAAAATAAAAAAGTTTCCAGTTACAAGTAAAAAGTTTCACTGCCCTTCTCCCAAAACAGAATCTAGACCTCAGGAAACAATTAGGGGAGTGAAAAAGAGTGATAGCAATACTGGTATAATTTACATCGACTCCAAAGGTGATTTGGAGACACAAAACAGGTATTTTAAACTCATTATTTTATCTAGATGTCTTGTTCTTTTAATCATTGAAATAAAAAGAGTTAGTTACAAGAATGGTCCTTGTGTTATATCCACTGTTGCATATTCACTCCAATGTTTTTTTTTCTGTTTCAAATTGGTCCCTAACATTGGTTTTTGTTTCTGATCTGTCACTGATCCATGTAAAAGACATCTAACTGTAGTTTAAAATAAACAAATTATATAAAAGTTAAAAAGAAGAGTCAAATTACATTTTTGTTCCTTGAGTATGGTTTCTTTTTTCAATTCTGGTACTAAAAGGTTTTCTTTTGCATTTTTGGTCCTTATTTGACATTCGTGTAATGTTTTTGGTCACGGTTCCAAATTAAGTGACCATTTTGGTCTATGGGTGTGATTTTTGCAATTTCAATCCCAAAATAGCCATTTTACGAGGAATAGGGACAAAAAACGTTACACAAATCTTAAATAAGGACCAAATTAGCATGACAACCTTTTGGGACCAAAAATTAAAAACATCAGCTATAATTGGGGACAAAAAATGCAATGTACTTTAAAAAGAAACATGTGAGGGTAGAAAAGTCATTTTATCATAAAAGTTGGACTGAACCTGAAATGTTGGGAATAACATAGGGACCATTATTGTAATTACTCTATAAAAAAGAATAGAAGTTGGTAACAGATGTTTGTCTTATGATGGGTGCAGGTTTCCATCGCCACCGTCATTTAACATATCTCATGATGACGATTTTCACTTAACCATTGTTCATGAAACCTCGAGAAATGACGATAATGCCCTTGACCATGAGCCACCTATTGTGAAGGAAACACCAATCAAGAACAGTTACCCTGATACTCTTGAATCTGTCTTTGAGTCAACCATAATCCAATCAAAGTTTCCCACTCGTTCCTTTTCTTCCCCCTGTTCCACTTCAACTTCTAAATGCATGAACACAACAACAACACCTAAAAAACAACAAATCCCTCAAAACAATTCACCTATAAATTCAATTGTTCTATTTTTATATTAAATGCAGCAGAAGCATATTCATTGTGTTTCTTTACAATCTACAAACAGTGCAAAACTGATTGAGATAGATTGGAAACGACATAATATTACTGCATCAAGTTGCATGAGAGATGTTGTTGTGTCTACAGGGTTTTCTGAACTATTATATGAGTCAATAAAACCAGTATCTATGGAGTCTGAGAATAATCTTGATGATGATCTGGTAAATGACAGTTATGTGATTCGAGTAAGCGATAAAGCAGGAAAAAGTTATCGAACAGATAATTTATCGCTAAGAGTAATCACAGTAAACCATTCGAATAAGGATTACTAAAGAGGATCGAGATCGAGAAATACTCCCATAGTATTTCATGAATTGTTTGCGACAATGATTCGATGTTTGGGATATTAGGGAAAGTTTTAGGCATGCCACATACCACAGTCACTCCCAAGCACATGTTGGTCGTGTCTCGAATGAATATAGTTGGCCAGGCCATATTGACCCTAGACACGACTACATAACTGCCCAGGTTTAACCATAGTACACAACACCCAATTACTTATGTTCGGTTCTACTTGTGGTTACGGATGACGACGGTTCGGTATACTTGTATACTTTTGAAAATACTTGTAGTTTGAAGATACTTTTAATTCAAAGCACTTAGGCCCTTTAGTGTTTATAGTTTTATACCATGTAAGGTTTGGTATACTTCATTCACTATAAACAAGGGCTCTGATACCAATCTGTCACACCCCGAAAACCGAAGGTGGAAAACATTTCCGGGGTTGACTGCCTCGTTGAGTATCAAATCCAATGCACATAGTAAGTAAAGTAAAACAACCATTACATTACATAATAAAAGTTTTACAGTTGTTTCAAAAGTAAAGTTTGTACAGTTGTAATACATAGTATATATAGACAAAATGAAACGGGTCTTCATGTACTCCGTCTTCTGATCAAAAAAGAATCTTCGGGTACCTGTTCTAACGCGGACCTGAGAACACAAGCGGTTTGAAAATCAGCATAAAGCTGGTGAGTTCATAAGCGGTTTTTGTTTTGTGAAAATGTTTCGAGTTTCCTTTCTGTTTCTGAAATGTTATATGCACCAAGAAAAATCCCATATTTTCTTATTAGTTGGTTATTGTTTCCCAATTGTAAAGTATAGTAAGTTTGTACACTGAAAACATGTTTATTCATGTGAAAATGTATAGTTGGTTATCTGACTGGTTAAACTGTTCTGTTTACTTATCATGTGTTACCAGGAAAGTCCCATACTTTCCTTATTGTATGTTACAAATTGTAAAAGATGTAATGTTATCCAGTTTGTTACTCTTTCTAGTTATGTAAGTGTTACCCAGGAAAGCCCCATGCTTTCCTGCGTATAGGTTTCTAATGTAAACGATGTTAAAGATGTAAAAGATGTAATCGTGATTAGGTTCCATGTTTTCCCCAGGAAAGTCCCGTACCTTCCTGAATGTTAGTTACAGTAAGTGAAAGATGTAAAAGATGTAAACGATGTATAAAGTAATTCATTATTACTGTAAGTAAATCTCTGTTATCCTAATTGCGAGTTCCATAACCATACAATAGACTGAAACCTGTGGCAATAAGTAGTCCACATGTGGCAATAAGTCGTCCACATACTTATGACTTTCGTCACCCTTGAACCATTTCGGTTCGGCTGTAGCTAGCAGCCAGGTGTGGGGTAGTCAGCCCCGTATAGATCTATACACTCAAGTCACGCTCTCTAAATACCAGAGATTCTGGTTATGGGTGTAGTCCTCCACTCGCGTAATCTGGGTGGAGTGTTCTCCGAGGACGTGTCTCCAATCATACAGGAATAACAAATTTACTAGTAATAATATGATAGTCCTCCACTCGTGTATGTGTGTGGAGTGTTACCGAGGACAAAACAGTGTACAGGTATTATGTTCAAATGTTTTAATGTCATGCTTTTAACTGATAAAATGTGGAAAACCATTTGTGAAATATATGTAAAACATACTAGTTTAAAGACCTATTTCACAAATATATGTTACGTGATCTGTATGTTCAATCTGTTATCAGTTGTAGTAATCAGTTATAAAAGCATAAGAATATGAAACACACATTTGAAAACATGTTTTGAGTACAAGAATTCCCTTGTACTTTGCTTGTGTTCCCCCCTGAAAACAGTGAAAAACAGTGAAAAAGGGTAGGGGTATGAACTCACCGGACTCGGAAACGTGTCGGTTTTGAATGCTAGACGTTGGTTCGGGGTTTGATTACTGCGATGTCCCTATGTAAAATGAAATAATGTCCATATATATACAATTAGGGATACATTCACTAATCATATGGAACATTACACTCCAATGAGGTTAAACACCTCAAAACGAGCGTTTGGAGTGACCCGGGTGACATCTTCGGACGTGTAATGGCACTAGGGACTTGGGACTTGAGTTTACTCCCCAAGAGTAAACATTTTAAAGAGTTTACAACTATGGAACACACACATACATGAGTTTACGGCCGTAAACTCATGTGGGTGTGGTTTTGATGGTTTAAGGGCTCAAATGGACATAGGGATTGCTAGAATGGATTATCTAAAATGCCTTGGAACACTTGGAAATGAATTTATACCATTTAAAACATGAGTTTACGGCCACACTCATAGAGTTTACGGCCGTAAACTCACCCTTGGCTAAGAATGGTTAATTTGAACTATTTAGGGCAATCACATGTGATTCAAACTAATTTTCTAAGCATTGTTATGAATTTAGATTACCATTTTACAAACTTATAGGAGTTTACGGCCTAGGAGGAGTTCTTTGGCCGTAAACTCACTTATGTAGGGTATATGTTGTGTTTAAGGTCTCCAAACCATTTTTAGATGAATCTAGGATTTACCACAAAGCCATTGGTTGAGTTTGAAAGCATTTTGACATGTTTAAGGGCACTAAATCACATTTAAGAGGAGTTTACGGCCCAAGAGTATGTCTTGGCCGTAAACTCATTTTATTACTCAAAAATCAAGTTTAAAGTGTTCCAAGTCTAGATTAGCAAGCCCAAAGGTCATATCTAAGTCCCAACTATGATTTGGAAGGGTTAATTGGCTCAAAAACCCTTTGAATATGAGTTTACGGCCCAAGAATGATCCTTGGCCGTAAACTCCTTCAAACCTCATAAAATTCATGTTTTAATTGTTTAGAGTCCATATCTTGAAGTCCCTTGGCCATATCTAAAGTCCAAATGAGTTTAGGAAGGAGTTTAAGGGCTTAAAACCCTTCAAATTGGTGTTTACGGCCTAGGCATGCTCCTGGGCCGTAAACTCACATATGTTGTCCTATTTTATGATTATATGTCGAATTTGGAAGCCAAATATGCTATAGATTAAGGCTAGGAAGGTACCTTAGAGATTTGAAGCCTTAATTTTGAGTTTTGATCCCTTAAACTTGGATTAGGAGAGAGGTTGGTAGTGTTTAATGGTAAATTGACCAAAGGCTTCAAATGGAGTCTTAAACACGTTTATATAGTGTTTAAGTTTCGGACACGGTGGAATTCTACCCGATACCGATGTTAGACGAGGTTTTTGGTCGTACCCGATTGAGTTACCGTAACCCGATACGGTAATTTCTAGAAATATTCCGATCACTAAAGTTGGGTGTTAAAATGATTTCTAAATGTATTAAGACACCCATTAAGTCATTTTAAATGTGTACTAAATAATGACTTAATTAAACGGAAGATCGGAAATCGAAATTGGAAACGACGATTGGTTGCGCGAATTGTACTACGAAAGAGTTACAATAAATGATACGGAAATTTCGGGTTGTTACATTATCCCCCCGTTAAAGGGAATTTCGTCCCGAAATTCAAGTTTAGAACATAAGACAAGATACAAATCATGGATAAGAAAAGAGTTGTGGATACTTCTATTTCATTGAATCTTCCCGTTCCCAAGTGAATTCCGGTCCCCGCTTGGCATTCCAGCGAACCTTCACTAACGGGATGCGACTTTGTTTTGTACGTTTGACTTCTCGATCCATGATTTCGATCGGTTCCTCCACAAAGTTGAGTTTTTCATTGATCTCGATCTCTTCTAAAGGAATTGTTAGGGTTTCATCGGATAGGCACTTTTTGAGATTTGAAACATGGAAGACAGGATGAATGTTACTAAGTTCGTGAGGTAAATGGAGTTTATAGGCAACTGGACCGATCCTGGAGAGGATCTCAAAGGGTCCAATGTACCTTGGATTAAGTTTCCCATGCTTACCAAAGCGTACAGTGCCTTTCCAGGGCGAGACTTTTAATAGGACACGGTCTCCAACCTGGAATTCTAGTGGTTTCCGACGGTTATCAGCGTAACTCTTTTGACGATCACGTGAGGCTTTCAGTCGGTTACGGATTTGAATGATCTTTTCGGTGGTTTCGCGGATGATTTCAGGACCAGTGAGAGCACTGTCGGGGACTCGACTCCTGGCTAACTGTGTATCCCCCACCTCGGCCCAGCACAGAGGGGATCTGCACTTACGACCGTATAGGGCTTCGAACGGAGCAGCCCTAATGCTGGTGTGGTAACTGTTGTTGTACGAGAATTCGATCAAGGATAGATGTGTATCCCACGACTTTCCAAAGTCAATGACACATGCCCGAAGCATGTCCTCCAGGGTTTGGATTGTTCTCTCACTCTGTCCATCGGTCTGAGGATGATACGCCGTGCTCATATCTAGTTTGGTTCCAAGGGCTTTCTGAAGGGATTGCCAGAATCTGGAGGTAAACCTACTATCTCGATCAGAGATAATGGATACAGGTACACCGTGTAGACGTACTACCTCCTGGATGTAGATTCGCGCGAGTCTTTCCATCTTGTATGATTCTTTAATTGGAATGAAGTGAGCGGATTTTGTCAAACGATCGACAATTACCCAAATGGTATCATACCCACTAGAACACTTGGGTAGTTTGGTGATGAAGTCCATGGTAATCATCTCCCATTTCCACTCGGGGATCTCGGGTTGTTGGAGCAGACCTGAAGGTTTCTGATGTTCGACTTTGACTTTGGCGCAAGTCAGACACTTGCCCACAAATGTAGCTATC